CTACTCTACTCTCTCTCTCTACTCTCTACTCTCTCTCTCTCTCTCTCTCTCTCTCTCTCTCTCTCTCTCTCTCTCTCTCTCTCTCTCTCTCTCTCTCTCTCTCTCTCTCTCTCTCTCTCTCTCTCTCTCTGTAGTGCAGAGAACAACGCACATGCGTCATATCCTGAAGTCGTCAGCGCGCAACTCGTACTTTGTAAAAGGCCTCTGTACGCCTACTAGGACGCAAGTGTCTCCTTTTCGAGTGACCGCTGCCTTTTTTTACGAGCGCCTCGTAATTTTCCGAGAGGCTCCTTTCCCTCATCGCGCGCGACGCACTACAGAATGTGCGAACCATTGCAATTGCACCAGAATTGCCCGCAGCGTCCGAACTCTGTCGTCTGCACTCACTTTTCTCACTTATCACTTACTTTTCTCTGCACCGCGACAAGCTCGGCCCCCTATTCGTTGCGTTCTACGCGAAACTACAAATGTAATGTTGTTGTATTACTCTGTAATTACGTTACGAAATTGTCGATGTAACGATTGGAAAATAAAGACGAATGTCATGAAAATTAATTTCTAAGTGGCTTCATTTAAATTACGATTAAAATTATAATTCAATACATACATTATTGGAATTAAAATTTTATAATAAAATAACAATGGTTAAAAATAGATAGATGGGAAGAATAATCGATTCATTCGAACACAATTCAAAATGAATAAATTGGTTGTAAATTATTCTTGTAACGATTGCATGAGATGACGAGATAATTACGTTTGTTTTTCTGATTATGTAATGTTGTAAATCATTTATATATCTGAATTTTATCGTTAAATCCCTCTTAACATTCCAGGTTACATGAAAACTAAAATGCCCTTCGTTGATCCCGAATATTTGCAAAAAACTTTTATTTCTTTATTGCACATAAAAATTATTTACACTTAAACATTTCTAGTGGATTTTTATTTAACAAGAATATCTGGACATAAATAATTTTTATGCATGACTAGAAATAAAAGGCTTTTTGCAAATAAAGCTTTAAAAGAACTAACGAGGAACAACAAACATTTTATCTTTTATGTAATTTCAAATGGACTTTTATAGTAATCCTTAATTTTATTGCAAAAAAGGTAAGAGATTTAAGATATTCTAAATCTTTCTCTTTTATTAGACGAGTCAAGGCAAATACTTAAGATCGAAGAAAGGAAAGTAAGGAAAAATGTGATTGATAATGGAGATAACAATGAAAGCTTAAAGCAGAAACATCGCTGCGCTCTCTCTCTTTCTTTGAATTAAAGTAATTTATTATCTTTATCGTAATAGTGATTACTTCAAGACATTGACAAGACTGACGTAAGAGAAACAACTTGGCGTATCGGCAAATCAAGTTTATTGTTGATTCATTCGGCGGTCCTTTCGCTCCTTGGCTCCTTCGCCAGCTTACAAGTCCAGACTTCAAGTCATACAATTTCAGAATCAACCGACACTCGATCGCCCTCACTGCAAATCTCTCACGATTACATGACGATGACGCGGAAGTGGTCCATAAGGATTTTCTTAAAAATAAATGTATATTCAGTGAAAAAATCCTTCAAAAAGATTTTTTATTCGATATATCTTTGTACTCTGAAAAATGTGTGTCACAGAGAAATTCACTTGCTAAAGTTGTTAAAATTTATCACTCGTAGATTATTTTCCTTTTAAGAAGATCACATGCCGGCACATGAAGATTTGTCCAAATTTACAATGATGACTTCCATGTGACGCCAACGATTCAATGATGCACCGTCTGATTTAAGAGGGATTCATCATTGATTAGCATACGTCAGTGCTAATACAGCAACATCAGCGGATGTCAAGCCGCTGAACGACTCTCATGTTGCATCTGGTGAACGAAGTCGGATTACTCGCAATAGGTAGTTCGTTTCGAATGAAAACGCGTCGCGCATCTCTGACAATCGTAGGTGCGTCCCGATCCGTCGTTGGGATCATTTGATGACTCGACTTGCCAAAAAGTGACACCACTTTGCAAATTGCAAATTCGCGGAGCAGGTCGATCCGAAATATTCGAGTGAGAAATCAATCTGCGCGAGCGTTTTTACTTTTTTTAAGGTACATCGACGAATTAAGCAACTAACTTGTTAAAACTACGTCCGATCTACCGATTTCTAGTTTCTTAGTGCGGTTAGTCACTCTTATTCGCTTTTAATTTATTCAAGCGAAGTAAAAAGAAGAAAGGTGATTTGCGCGATCGCGTATACGTTACCTTATTTCGCGTCGTGCATCGTTACGCGTAACGCGGAAAGTGTCCCGATCTGGGACAGTCTGGCTACCCCACCCCCACCCCCCCACCCCCGCGATCCAGCGATCCATCGATCCCGATGGCCTCCGGCCTCTCTCCTTCTTTTTTCGCCTCACCTTCGTATGTTCTCTTAGTGCCTTCCCTTTCGGTCTTTGGTCCTCGCTACCGCCATCCGGTTGAGACCGGCAGGGTTTACTAAGAGAGCACGCGTCCAGAAACTTCAGTGCAAAACGCGCGCTCGAACTCGAAGGATTATTGGATTCCTTCATTTTGACGA